TGATATCAAGAGAGGGAGGGAGGAGAAAGAAGGGAAGGAAGGAAAAAAGGGAAGGGAGGGAGGAGAAAGAAGGGAAGGAAGGAAAAAGGGAGGGAGGGAGGAGAAAGAAGGGAAGGAAGGAGAAAAGGGGAGGGGAGGGGGGAGGAGGAAGAAGGGAAGGAAGGAAAAAAGGGAAGGGAGGGAGGGAGGAGAAAGAAGGGAAGGAAGGAAAAAAGGGGAGGGAGGAAGAAGGGAAGGAAGGAAAAAAGGGAAGGGAGGGAGGGAGGAGAAGGAAGGGAAGGAAGGAAAAAAGGGGAGGGAGGGAGGAGAAAGGGAAGGAAGGGAAGGGAGGGAGAGAGGGAAACAAGGAAGGAGTCTACTGTATTGTACTTCTTAAGTAGAAAAGTAGGGTAATGTAAAATAGAGGTAGAGTCAAATAGATTTCTAGAGTAAAAAAGATGTGTGGTAAAGCAGAAGAGAAGTAGAAGAGAAGGAGCTGGAACCGGGGCAGGGAACCAGCCAAACTGGGCCAATAAACCAGGGGTGGCTTTGAGAAGCACCTGGCTTGCTCCAGAGAGCTGGGGAATGGCCTTTTTGGCTCCCTGAGCATCCTTAGCAGATGCTCGGAGGATTCTGGCACAGGGACAGGAGCCGTTTGCTGTAAACAGCTGCCGGGAGTGCAGTCCGAAGGCTCCGCGCTGGAAGAGTCCAAACAAGGAAATGCAGGGCTGAGTGAAAAGCAGCCCAGGAACTGTTGAACAGTTTGCAATCGACGGACGAGAATGTTTGGCGCCTGGTCCTTTTTCCAAGAAGGGAACAACGACGTGGCCTAAGTAAAGCTGCCTTTAAGCCTGCCTTGACGCCGGGTTAGTTCATGGGCACATCTGGGCAGCTTTCTTCTCAGAATTACCAACATGACTTCCCTTTCCCAGGGCATTCTCTCCAACCTGTCCGATTCTAGCCTCCACTCTGGGATCTCCTGGTGATCCCCAATCCAAAGAGTGACCGGGTCTGGCCCTGCTTCACTTTTTGAAATCAGCCCGGGTCCAGCAGGGGCTGCCACTGAGTGGGACCACAGAATGAACAGCTGGATTATGTTGTTGAAC